AATCGCTCACTCGGCATCAGACCATGTACCCCGTCTACTACTACAGCGTTGAGAAGAAGGTCGTAGAAAGCATCGGCGTTGAGCTTAAAAACAAATGGAATGAATACTTTCCTTTCCCAGACAGCGACCAGCCGGTCATTGTGGTGTTGCATTTTTGGAGAGCGTGAGTCAGTCGTCGTTTAGAAGTCTAGGTGAACGCACCGCATAATGGCGGGCGAGAATCCTTATTTTGCCTACTATGAAGCACAGATGGGAAGCGGGGCTCTGCCCTACTACCACTCGCGCTTTACTGTGCAAGGCGGCCGCGGTTGGATAGGGAACCTGTTTCGGGGCGCCTGGTCGTACCTCCGTCCTCTGCTGGGAACTGCAGGGGCCGAAGCGGTGCGCACTGGGACCAATATTGTTCGCGATGTTATGGCGAATCCTAGCGAACCGATTAAAGAAATTGCAAAACGTCGTGGTCGCGAAGGGTTGTCGAACCTCGCACACCGAGCCGGAGATTCTTTGTCAGGGCGGGGAGTACGCGTCAGACGCAAACGTTTGGCTCAGAAGCAGCTCGGACGTCGTGGGAGAAGGACCGCTGCAGTGACCGCTCCGCAGTACCGTCGCAACCTCGTCCCCGCCATACGTGACCTCTTCTCCCCGCCCTCACCATGATGGACGGCAGTCTTGTTCCGTGCATGATTGGCCAACTCGAAATCTTCAAAAAGAAGCCGGTGCAGGCCTGTATTAAGAGGCGCGTCGTTGAGAAGCATAAGCCGCTCGCAACAGGGCGTGGATTTCCAGATGTCGTAGAGTGGGTTATTCCTGGGAGGCCTCTGCACCTCCCTAATATCAATGCGACAAAAGTGCGCGCCGTCGTCCACATGAGAGTAAAATCTACCGGTGCGAATCTGAACCCTGATGACGAAAAATATTCCGTTGCGGATTGTACTCTGCATAGTCTGTTTGACCAGGCTGAAATATTCTTGAGTGAGAAATCGGTGACTAAATCACCGCAACACTACTCCTACAAAAGTGTGCTCGATTTGTACTCTACGGCGGGCGCAGACGCTCGTAACGGTCCTTTGAGCACCGTGCCGGTGATTCCCGATGAAAATGATGCGTCGAGCTCAAACGTTAATACAAATCCTGGGTTTAAGAAAAGAGAGGTCCTTTTCAAAGGGTCAAAACGTGTGGAACTCATAGGGAAACTCCGCGCCGATGTTTGCAATATGGAAGATGGTGCATACATTGTAGATAATGTGTCGTATCGAGTGCGGCTTACTACAAACCGCCCCGAATTTTTCCTGTGGTCAAATGCCTCAGCACCAGATATTGAATTTGTTGTAGACGATTTCGAGCTATGGACAGAGTACTATGTTATCAATCCCGAGCTGGGGATAGGCATCGACCTTGCTCTGTCTAAGCAGCCCGCTCAGTACCATTTTAAGAGTTCTCAAATTAAAGTCTTTATTCATCCTGCGGGTTCCCAAAATATTGACGTTCCTGTGGCGTTTAGCGGAAAGCTGCCGTCTACCGTGATGACCACGTTCTGCAAGGCAGAAAACTTCAACGGCGACCTTAAAAAGAATCCCTATGATTTCCATCACGAGGGCGTTACTGAACTGTCCTTCTTTTGTAATGGTGAGGAGAGAAGATTCCTCATGAACATGGACCTTGAAATGGGTTGCTCTACTGTTCTCCACACCCTTTATTCTGAGCTGGGGCTCGAAATGGAGGAAGCAGCAGGGCACGCCTTCACGATGCCTATGATGAGAAAGGGGCGGTTCGCCTGTGCTGTGGACCTTACTATTGATCATTCGGGACGGGGGCCTTCCCAGAACATGGATCAGTATGGGACAGTAAGGCTCCAAGGTCGGTTTAGTACCGCACCCGCCACGAGCATTTGTATTATTATGTATGCTCAGTTTGATTCTACGCTGGAGATTACTAGTGCGAGGGAAGTCAGTGTATACTAAACCATGAGAGACTTCAAATCCCCTCTGACTACGCTTGATGTGTTGGGCGTGGCTCGAGCACACCCCGCTCTAAAGAGGGTGCATGTAGGAACGTACCCGCTGGACGCTCTGCCCGATTTAACTGTAACGGGTCGCCCCCGACATTTAGTTTTTAATTTGTCTCCTTCGACTATTCCACCCGGTTCTCACTGGGTTTCTATATGGTTAAGCGGCGACACGACAGCTGAGGTTGTGTGCAGCCTGGGTCAACGGCCGACAGCGCCAGAAATTTTGAATTTCCTTCGACGACACGCGAGCCGAGTGGTGTTTAACACTACACGCCTCCAGGCTCGAAAAAGCGCCGCGTGCGGACTGTACTGCCTGAGTCACGGTCTTGCACGTGCGCGCGGAATAAATTTGGCAACCTGGCTGAGCAGATTTACGAATTGTCCTCGACAAAACGATCAAATTGTATATTGTGAGTTTATGCGCGAGATGGCGTTCCCCTCCCTCTTTTCCCCTCGGCTGCGCAATTGGAGATGTTCTCTTGCGCGCGCTTGCCGCTCGTCAGTACTGTGCGAGTAGCGACCGAGGACACATCGACGCGTCATGGAGCATCAAACCGGCGTACAAGTTCCTGTGGCTGCCGCCGTGGATTACTTTGACACCGAGGCGCTGGATGGAGACATGCTGGACGCCTTCCTTGCGCAGATTCAAGAGCAGCAGCTCGCAAGGGCCCATATGGACGTCAATGAACTTTCTGGTAAGTTATTGCACAAGAAAATCGTGAATTTAATGTGTATGATATGCAGCAATAACAATTTTATTTGTATTTCTTTTTGCAGGGGCTCCGCAGAATGAATCGCCTAAGACAAGAAAGCCCGTGCGTCGTGCTCGGAGTGCTGCCTCTGCGGCTTCCAAAACTGGTAAGTTTACCTTGCTTATGTGTTCTCAAGCTAGGCGTGTGTGTTCTCTTCTAATAAATATGTTTGTTGTAGGAAAGTCGGTGAAACCTCGTAAGGCACCACGCTCCGTGTCAACTGTGCGAGGTTCGAGTACTGCATCGCAACCGTTGCCGCCCAGGCCTCGTCGTCCCTCCTCACTTGCTGTCCAGAAAACCTACTGTCCCCATATAGAACGTCTCTGCCATATTCTGCGAATGGTCGCCTGCCACTCTTGCGCTCCAACTCCTTGCTGTCGTTAGCCATAGTATAGAGTTTTATTTATTTTGATGTAACCGTGTTTTCATTTTAATTTGAGCTTTATGCGGCTCGTGTGTGTGTGACATAAAAAATATAATAACTCTGTAAGAAAAAAAAAGCGATAATATTAAGGTAAATTTAAGTCGTGTGTGAGTGCGTGTAAATACAGAAAAAGGATTGTAAAATAAAAAAAAAATGTACATACATCTCGTTTCATCTTTTATTCCAGATCCATTAATACATTGGCTAATACATGAATAATTCAAGAAAATCGTACGCCATTCTACTCATGAGTACATTATGGCGGAAGAACATATCCAATTGAAATTCAGTTTTGCGATTGCTTGATGGGGCGCATTCGGAGACCAGAGAGAGTCCCGATTTATAAACAGCCTGTTGTGCGTTTGTTTCAGAACGTATGGTGCCTATTCCCATTTTAGACGCGTCTTCTTTTACATTTGCTATGGCACACAGTAGCCATTCTTCGACCTTAATTGCCTCGCGTTCCAATATTGCTACGAAATGCAACAACATGGGCATCAGCTCATACATCCTGGAGGCCGATATAATGCCGAGAGTAGTATGGAATTGATGTCCGTCCGAACGTGATATCTTGAGGGCCGGCGAATCCTCTGTTTTTTTTACACAGTGAAAAGCACAGTTTCCAACAATGTGGCATGTTCCAGGGGACTGCGGAACCTTAAAATGGCCCATAACTCTCTTGCGACACTCTTCGCTGAGCAAATACTTGAGCTCGGGTAGAGAGAGGTGCACACCTAGCCCACTGTTTCCTGTGATGGTAGCATACACGTGGAATTTTCGGGTGGCGTCCAATCCAATCGTTAAACGTTTGTTGGTTGCGCCTTTGAGGTCCCACGTCTTCTCCAAAGTCCACTGACACACAGAACTGGGGTTGGGCATAATGCGTCGCAGCACGTGTCGCATGGTCTCCCCGCGGGTCGGACCGCACTCGGGGCTCGAATCGTGAAAGTGCCTGCAAAAAAGTGAGGTTAAATATCCAGAACGCGGTCACTCACTGTACTATGTTGAGTGTGAGCGCTACTTACCTTCGATGCTTGTCCATGTTGAGGTCGTGTGCTCGCGGCCGACGCTGAACACTAACTGCACATAATTTGACTCCGCTCATTATCTATGAATTCGCTGACCGGCGATTTTTATTTGCATTTTTGTTATTTTGCAATTAATGAAAAAAGCCAGTTCCGCCTTCTCACCCACCCCCCTGCGCGTCCTCCCTGCTCGGCCACCACCCTTCTGCATCCTCCACCCTCGCCTGCCACCCCTACGCACCCTCCCCCACCCCGCGCTCGCGCCACCCCTACGCACCCTCCCCCACCCCACGCCAGGCGGCGTGTACAAGTACTCGCTTCTTCCTTCCACTGGCGCCGCACCCCCCTTTTCCCCCACACACGCCGCCTGCGCCCCTGTTGTTCGCCCGCGCGCTGTCCACCGCCTGTCCGGCACGACCGCCGCGGAGCCCCGCCCTGTCGTGGCC